CTCCATTAACCCTTTCCTTTTCCAAGTTTCCCTGTCCTGTGTTAAAATTTTTTTTTTCTACACTGCTTCCATATTTGCAGGAAAAAAGGTAACTGAACAAATAATTATTGAACACCATGTATACAGTATTATTCTAGGTTTGGTATGTAAAAAATGAATAGAATCATTTTAAGATACAATTACTTACTAAGGAAATTGAGAAACAAGGCAAAAGTATCCTAGCATTAAAAGACAGAATACAGTAAGATTAGTGAACCACCTAATAATCCATGTGACTGTAAGTATATGTTCCTGTTTATAACATAATCCGCTAGTGACCTCAAAGAGGATCAAATGGGAAAGTCAAGCAAAACAGTGCAATGTTACTGTAAGGACCAGAAAAGCTTAAGAAATTTTAATGTCAAGAAAGCAATAGTTCAAGGCAATGGTTACCTCTAGGGGAAGCAGTGGGAGGATGAGATGAGGTCAAAGCTGTTACTGGTGATATTTGTTATACCAATATATACCAACCTGGCTGGCAACTGGGTTCAAGCATGGTCATCATATTATCCTTTATAACTTGTATATGGATTAAATACTTTTTTTTTTTTTTTTGAGGCAGAGTCTTACTCTGTCACTGAGGCTGCAGTGCAGTTACAATCTTGGCTCATTGCAACCTCCACCTCTCAGGTTCAAGCAATTCTCCTACCTCAGCCTCCAGAGTAGCTGCGACTACAGGTGCGCACCACCATGCCCACCAAATTTTTGTATCTTTAGTAGAGATGGGGTTTCACTATGTTGGCCAGCCTGGTCTCTAACTCCTGACCTCAGGTGATCCGCCCACCTTGGCTTCCCAGAGTGCTAAGATTACAGGTGTGAGCCACGGCACCCAGCCTCACATTCTTTTGTGTATCTAGAATTACAAATTATTTTATATGTATCTAGAACTGCAAATGTTAAAGCAAATAATATTGCACAAATGTAGTCATGGAAAAGTCATCTCACCTTCCATAAAAATACAGAACCTCCATAAATATTGCTTGTATTAGAAATTTGGTTATAAAAAAAGGCAATCTCCCTTTATACTCTGAAAGTCTAGATGCTCAAAAGACCAGGCACTTTACAAAAAACACTGCTAATATACAAGACTTGCTGTGTAAAGGATCCTTCTTGAAATATTTTCCTTTTCTGCCAGGAAAAGGACATACATAACATGTACACTAAGGAATCTCGTTTTATCTACTGCAAATCAGATTTATATTCATTTTATTTATATTCACCTAGGCACTTAAGAGAAACACATAATTTGAGTCTAACATGCTTGGTGCAAGAACTTGTTTTGTCAAAGAGGCTACAATTGTGACATAATTGAACCAAAGTAGGGAAGGGGGATTTTGTATCCCTGTTTCATTCCCTGTTGTCCAGAATAAAGTCCACATTCCTGTCATAGGCCTGGCAGGCCTCCAAAACCTGGCCCCAAGCCAGGAACTATCACTTCCAATACTGACTTGAATTACACTACTCTGACATTCCATTTAATATTCCATTCCAGCTTTCCTTTTCATAAGCCTATGTTTCACTCTCCAAATAGACTGCAGGGCCTTAGGAGCAGGGAAAAATACAGTGGGAAGGCTGTGGGGGAGGGAGCGGGGTTGTAACGCCAGTGTGGTCACAACCAGCTTCATACAGAGCGTGTTATTTGAATATATACCTGAAGGAAGCAAGGGAGCAACACTTAGATCTGGAAGCTGAGTTGCCCACACAAAGGGAACTGTCAGTATATATACAGTGCCTGAAAGAGATGCATACTTCCAGCAAGTTTGAGAGGCTAGCAGAGCTGGATGAGGAAGGAAAAGAGTAGTGAGATTTGAGGCCAAAGAGGTAACAAGAGCCAGAGAGTGGGGTCTTGCAAGGTTTTGAAGGGACTTTGGGTTTTCCTTTTAGTGAAATGAGGGTCATTGGAAGGTTTTCAGCAGAAGAGTGACCTGATTTCATTCACCCTTTATTGGAAATCTGTGGGACAGAGGTAGGCAATGAGGGTGCTACAACAATGAAGGTGAGCGTTGGCAGTGGCTTGACCAGAGCAGAAGTGGGAATGCGAAACGGTTCGATTCTGTTTATGTTTTCAAGAAGACCTCATAGAACTTACTGATGGATTGTACAGGATGGGAAAGAAAAAGACAGAAATCACTCCAACTAAAAGAGTAAAATGCCATTCACTAATTTCAAGATGATGAGAGGTACCGTATTGCAGCAACAATGAAATAAATTCTGTTTGAAGCCTATTTGAGTTGGAAGTACGTATTAACTGGACTTTCAAGTTGAGATGTCAAGTGTGGAGGACGATGCTGTGGGCTGGTGACATAACATCCACAACATTACCATATAGGCAGCATCTCCACAGCAATAAACATCAGTTCAAAAGCATCAGACAGATTTTCATTCTCCACGTCCATCTTTTCAGATCCATCAGGAGCCACAGAGCTAAGGGAAGAATAAATGAATCAAACATAGAGCTATGAAGCTGAGTTCCACAAACAGGCTACAGGAGGCCTAAGAACTGCTAGAATTGCAAGCAAAATATGTGGGGAGAATGGGCACATTTAGAAAAAGGTGTGACTAACACTGGATCTCCAAAGTGATCTCTTCATGGCTCTAACTTTTAGTAGGCTATTTGAAAGAGAATTGCAATATTATTGCACACTCTGAATACCGAGGGCATTTTCCCCTATTTGCAAAATAGGGAAAATTCTTGTTTGTTTTGAAAATTACAGAAACAGAGAATTACTAAAGAAAGCACTCGTCACACTTTAAGTTAGGAATCCAGATGTCTTAAGTACAAAACAAACATTTCTTCTCTAACCCAGAGCTCCCTTGCACTGCTTCTCTTCATTCTCAACCCTCTTTTCCTAAGAGATGTCATTTCACCTTGTGGCTTTTTTACTGTCATGGGAGTCATACTCTGACAACTCTCTATTATTATGTTTCCCACCCATATGTCTTTTCTGAACTCCAGGTTTACAAATCAAACTGCTTACTTCATATCCTCCTCTTAAATATGTGTAATAAGCATGTCACAAACTCTCTGGATTTCCAAAAGAAAGATGTGGAATTACTTCCAAAACTTGGTCATTCAGTATTCTTCCCCATTTTAGCAACTGACACCTCCATTTCAACTGCTGTCAATAAAATCATTGTAATCATGTATAAATTTTCTTTCTCTCATATGCTACACCTTCAGTAGCTCAGAAAAAAACTATCAAGCTTTTTTCACAATATTTTAAGAATCCAACCGCTCTTCACAGCCTCTACCACTAATACACAAGTCCAAGCCACTGCCATCTCAACTGCTTTTAGTACCCTTCTAACTGGTCTCTGTGCTCCTCCTACCCAGACTCCATCACATTTACTCTTCATCAGGCATCTAGGCAGCTCATTTTAAAATATAAATCAGATCATGTCTGTCCTCTGCTCAAAACTCTAAGTGGCTCCCACCTCACTAGAAATAAAAGCCGAAGTAGTTACACTGGCCTACAGGGCCATACAGGAACTGCTCCGCCTCCATTTGCCTTTCAGACCTCATCTCCTTTCCTCTGCACTCCTTCTGCCCAGCCACAATAACTCTGCTATCTCCAGGCTTTCCTACTTGGTCTTCTATTGGGAATATTCTCTCAATGTCTTCTTTTCTCCAATCATCCCTTTATCAGTAAAGCTTTCTATGACCGTATCATTTAAAATACCACCTTCTCTAATTACGGCTCTTGCATTACTTTTAACGAAGAAAAAGAAAAAAAAACCACCTTCTCAGCTGGGCACAATGGTTCATGCCTGTAATCCCAGCACTTTGGGAGGCTGACACAGGTGTTATCACATGAGGCCAGGAGTTCAGGACCAGCCTAACCTCAACTATACTAAAAATACAAAAGTTAGCTGGGCCTGGTGGCACAATCTTGTAATCCCAGCTACTTGGGAGGCTGAAGCATGAAAATTGCTTGAATCCAAGCAAGGTGGAGGTGGAGTGGTTGCCACTGCACTCCAGCCTGGGCAACAGAGAAAGACCCTATCTCAAAAAATAAGCATCATCTCCTCCTTCCATACATCTTTAGGCCTATTTCAGTGATAGCTCTTAGCACCATCCGATACAATTTCACTTACTTTGTGTGTGAATGCATACCCAATGAACTCCCTAAATACAGAAATACTGTTTTCTTCACCATCATTCACTTCTATAATTCTCAGAGCAGTGAAGAGTACCTGGCATACGTGCTCAATTATTTTGTTGTTAAATTTTTATCCAAGTACAAACCAGCGCCTTAGCTCCGATAACATGGTTCTTTTCATATTAATGCACAAATCCATTGATTTTAAAAAGATGAGACACAAAGTAACTCCATTCATTCTCCTGATTTCAGTTATAATCCTACAATTTGCTTGCTGAACACAAGGAGGAAAAATCTGATTTTACAATGAAACTATCTTCCTAAACCAGCAATTGTCCCATTATATTCACCGTAGATAACTAGACATGTCTCTGATGTGCTGTAACATTATGTACATATAAACTGTTCCTCACAAGCGTATTAACCTGATTTCAATTAAGTGTATAAAAAGTAACTTCTACTTACAGGGCAGAGTATAGAAGCCAAGTAAAATGATCCCATTAGAAAAGCCATTCCAAATCTACAGGTTTCGTCTCTGGCAAATCATTGTCCCGATGTCTGAATGTATGCCTTTTTTTTTTTTTTAAGAGGCAGTTTCGCTCTTGTTACTCAGGCCAGGCCGGAGTGCAACGGCGAGATCTCGGCTGACCTCCCAGGTTCAAGCGACTTTCTTACTTCAGCCTGCACCTCCCAGGTTCAAGCGATTTTCTTACTTCAGCCTCCCGAGTAGCTGGGAGTACAGGCATGCACCACCCACGACTGGCTAACTTTTTCATATTTTTAGTTGAGAAGGGGTTTCTCCCTGTTGGTCACGCTGGTCTTGAACTCCCGACCACAGGTGATCCGCCCACCTAGGCCTCCCAGAGTGCTGGGATTACAGGTGTGAGGCACCGCCCTTCGCCTGAATCTATACTTTCTTAAAAGGCTATCATCGCTGCGTAAGAATTAAGTTTTGGTGATGTTTCCATATTGATCACTTAGCGATACTGTACCTTCTAATGACTTAATAACGTTTAGAAACACAGTTTATGTGAAATTCCTCGCAAGCTCTCCAGTGTGCATTTACATTGTTACCCCACACTGCCTTTTGTTGACGAAAGTTGTCACCGTCAAAAGCAGCAGCGTACATGCCGCCTGGACTTCGGTCTGCGATCCCGACCGGAGGATCTGTTCCGCTGGCGGATTCACCTTTGTTTCTAGGCCCGCCGCCTTGGCGCGGGCTTGCTTTGTTCCTCGCCCTCCCCGCCATTTTGAAAACGGTAACGGAGTCTCGCCTGGAGTTTACTGCGACTTCTCTACTCCCTGAGAACAAGTTTAAAGGGGGAGCCACACGGAGAGTACAAGCCGTGCCAATCCAGCTTACTCGCTGCCATCTTAAGCTCTAAAGTGTAAGATTCCTGCAGCGCCGTGTTGGAAAAAAAACACAAAAAAAGAAAGTGTAAAAGAAAGCTAAACATCTATAACATACCGACTACCCTCAAGCATAAGAGAATAACCCTGAACACTTCATAAATATGCGTTATGATGTTAAACGTTAACACCAGGAAACGTTAACACCAGGAAAGTTAAACGTTACCTGTAATCTATACATGTGTGAAACGACTACTTTTCAACAAAAACCTAGAACAAAACAGGACAGGTACCACAAGATGTCCGCTCTTTTACGGAAAAAGTGGGCGGCCCTGAAAAGGGCCTTTGGTTGAAAAACGGAGTTACTGCACACAGCAAAAGGAAGCCTCAGCCGCCGAAGCCGTACAGAGTGCGTCCCTGCCGCTTCAGAGCGTAGACCACGTCCATCGCAGTCACGGTCTTGCGCTTAGCGTGCTCCGTGTAAGTGACCGCGTCACGGATCACGTTTTCCAGAAACACCTTCAGAACGCCGCGAGTCTCCTCATAGATGAGGCCAGAAATGCGCTTGACGCCGCCACGACGAGCAAGGCGCCGGATGGCTGGCTTGGTAATGCCCTGGATGTTGTCGCGCAGGACCTTACGATGACGCTTGGCGCCTCCTTTACCTAGACCTTTCCCTCCTTTACCACGACCAGACATGACTACCCAGCTCTTAACACCAGTCTCAGAAACCTAACGGCCGCAGAGCAGAGCAACGCCGTTATATGCAGGGAATGCGAACCTAATTGAGGACTGAAGCGCTCATACGGGAACTTTGGGCTGCCTCTTGGCCCCACCCTACATAGCCCAGCCCTATGTGACGTCACCAATGACTCGCGTCTTCGGCATCCGAGCGCCTTCTCTGTGGAGGCGCCTCCTCCAAGTGCTGGGTTCCCAAGTAGGAATTTCAAAGCTGTTTTAATAACTAAACCAGATTAAAGAAATTAACATGTTTATTATTATTAGTTGCTTAAGTTGCTTTAGGACGATTAGAGAGGAGCCTCGGTCCAAACGACCGGAAGCCTGAGGAATCCAACTTAGTCCCCAAGGTCCCAGTGACTGACATTTCTGCTGCCTGCTGTAAAACACATGCGGACCGAAACCTCCTTCGGAAGTGTATGAAAAGTGCAAGATTTCATCCTCTCCACAAGGGAAATATAACCAAAAGAGTTTTCTTCCGGATGGCGAAGACATGGTTGGTTATTGATTCGTGGTAGAATTATCGCCCTCCGCGCAGAGGCCTGATTGTATTCCCAGCGTGTTCTCTTCTTTTGCTGCTTATTAAAATTTGTAATTGCCATTTAAATAGCTAGCTGCCCTTCACATCAGCAACCAGTAATTCATCAGTGTGTGGTTTTCAGGATGTTTTTTGTTGTTGTTTTGCTTTGTTTTTTGTTTTTTTATTGAGACAGTCTCACTATGTTGCCGGTTTTGGTGTCCCAAAGTGCAGGGACTTACAGGTGTGAGCTACCCCGCCTGGCCCACAGTGTATTGATGTTTACTTTTCCATCCCTAATTTTGTTTTCTGTTTGATTCTGGTAGCCGCCTTTTTCCAGAATAAGTTGGCAACCTGTGGTAGCCAAAGTATTAAATAAGTAACTTCCTGTAGACTTTAATCGTGAGATAGTGTGAGCACATTGCTTGAAAGTAGTTAAGGGGATTGTGAGAAAGCTCCCGTCAGGGAGTAGCAGAGTGGCGCAGCGGAAGCGTGCTGGGCCCATAACCCAGAGGTCGATGGATCGAAACCATCCTCTGCTAAGTTTTCTTGAGGATCCGTTTTTTTTAAAGTTACACTTTGTAGCTTAAACACTAAGATAAGAAAACAAAAATGAACTCTTTTTTTTTAATTCCAGAATTACAAGTATTTCTAGAAAATAATGTGAAACTGATTACGATCTCTGCATGTACAGGGTTTATTTTCATGGACACCCAACTGTTATTAACCAATATTTCATCTCTAAATAGAACAAATTTCTTTTGTTGCCAAGTGGCCATGCCACTGTTGCAGCCAGTTATGACACTTGTAAATTAACCTGTCAGGCAGGGAAAATGCTGAAATAAACTGAATGCCAAGGGTGGGGTAAGAGCCGAGGAATGGAGTTTTATATCCTTTGTTACATAATTCAGGAAGCACTGTTTGCCAAGTGGTTAAGGTGATCGACTAGGAATCGTTAAATCCCCATGCAAATTTTTTGCAACGACGAGAGTCTCGATCTTGGAAAATGAGTAGCAGTTTGAGGTGGGTGTGGAGTCTTCATAACATGGATTGAACTCAGACCTGGGAAAACCATTTCTGTGGCCACTACTGGTAAACCCTGACTCTACTGTCTACCCTCCTTTAATATCTCGAATAGAACTATTGACTGTGCTTATTTTTTAAACAAACGTGTTGGCTGTTTTATGCTTCTCTCTCTCAGAAATGATTCTTATTCCGATATTTACGTATCACATAATGTATTAGGAAAATTAAGAAAATTAAAAAAAAAAGCCTTAAGTAGCCTACAGTCTAGATATGCTTTTAAACAAGTAAATATGTAGAGTGCAATACGGTAGTTCTGTAAAAGGATTGTACACTAAGTGCAGTGGGAATATAAAAAATGGTGATTGTACTCCCATGACCACCCACTAATTCAGTAATTCACTGGCAGTAATCACATGACTTAGCATACTCTTAGTTAAGATTTATTATCAGGCCGGGCATGGTGGCTCACGCCTGTGATCCCAGCACTTTGGGAGTCCGAGGCGGGTGGATCACGAGGTCAAGAGATCGAGACCATCCTGGTCAACACGGTGAAACCCCGTCTCTACTAAAACTACAAAAAATTAGCTGGGCATGGTGGCGCGTGCCTGTAATCCCAGCTACTCAGGAGGCTGAGGCAGGAGAATTGCCTGAACCCA